CGACTCGGGTTCGGCTCGTTGACATAGCTAGACGCGTCTAAACGAATCTTTTAGAACACTGCTTGTAAGTAATTAAGTTTAGAAATAAATAATTGTTTGATAGTCAAAGTTGAAAATACGATACTTATTTTGATATTATCTCCAAACTTAACTATCAAAATAACTTTTTTTGCTTACAATAATAGTAATATCTAACCTATACAAGGATGTTTGGAATTAAAATTTAACTCATAAAATAATTTTTAAGCTTAGCCAAACATGGTTAGAAAAATTAGGAGTCCCTAATTTGTCTGAGAAAAATATGACTCTGTTGCACAAGCTACATTTGTCCCAACGGTCCGAATCCCTTTTTTACTCAGTCTTTCCACACTCATCAGCAAAATCCGCACATTATCACACTATTTCAGATCAATTATGCCATTTGGCTTCTGTCTTTCCAATACCAATAAACCAATTCTTTCATACAATCACATGATTTCTATACACACACATGAATGCATTCTTGAATACATTTTTTGAATGCTTCTTTGAGAATGACCCTTAAGGGTGGCACCGGCCAAGCCTGTGCAGCATGCAAGTATCAGAGGAGACGGTGCGCCTCTGATTGTCCACTTGCACCGTTCTTCCCAGCTGACCAACCAAAAATGTTCCAAAATGCACACAAGCTTTTTGGGGTAAGTAATATCTTGAAAATACTAAAGCAACTCGACCCGAGTCAGAAAGTTATAGCCATGAAGTCCATCAAATATCAAGCCAATATGCGCGATAAGTATCCTGTTTATGGATGTTTGGTGGAAATACAACAACTTTCTTACCAAATTCAAATGGCTGAAGAGGAACTTCAGGCTACTCTTGGACAACTTGCTTATTATAGACAACGACATCAACAACAGGAGATCTCATCGGCTAATGAGTCACTATCGCAGTTACAATTAGGCATGGCACCTCCAGGTAATGCCTTGACAAATATTCATCAGGATAACCCCCCACAATATGATGTTATGACAGCATTGCCTATTACCTATTCAAATAATGTCGACCCGTGTTATAACACCGAATATTTGGAGGCTAAGGAAAATAATGTAGTCGATTCTTTGTGGATTCAACAACCGTATAACAATGACAACAATTCCATGGCAATGCAATCACAGTTGAGTAATTCACAACCTTTATCTGTTCAACAAGAGACGGCTCAAGAATAAGACGAAATATATCCATTTTTTGAAACTATAGATGACAGACAATCCTACATGGACTCCAAGGAACTGTACGAAAACAAGAGACGGCTCAAGATTATGATGAAATATATCCATTTTTTGACACTATAGATGACAGACAATCCTACATGGACTCCAAGGAAGTGTACGAGTCAAGGTACCGTTATTATTCCAGTGTTAGTTTATATATTTTTTTCATTTCTTGCTAGGTAAATAGATCTTTGATTAACTTTACACATTGTAGCATCAACAGTAAATTATGAAATCCCATTTTTTAATTTAAAATTTTAACTAACATGCAGCTCGGAATCATCATTGAAAGATACAAGACAATCAGTCCATCAAATGGCCGAGAATGAACTGAAGAGTGCTGCAGCATGTTTTAGCCTTACCAGTGTCAACTGATAAAGGAAACAAATTGAAGGAGATCACATACTAGCAGAGAGGCTTGGCCTATTGTGAACCCATTTTTGTAATTTTCATATAGAATTCATCAATTATGTTATGTCAATCTAAGCATTGACTCTTGCCCTCTATTTTCTTTATTACTTTATGATTTCAGCGAGTCGAACAAATTCTTATTGGTTCCACAGCAAACTATTTGTTCATCATAAGCTTTCTGAATGGAAACGATAAAAGTTTTCTTTATTTTCCCAAAAATTCCAACGTACGCAGAGTGAATTTAAATTAGATATACCACCAGCATGTTTATATTTTTGTTCATCATAACTTTTTTTAGTTAATTAAAAATGAAAACAGATAAATCTTATAAACTAGTGGGAATTTGTTAATCTGAGCCTGGGTCGAATGTAATATTTAAAGCTGACCAAGAAAATAGGTTTCTTTACCTATGATTAAGAGTTTACGTGCAAGGTAAACATGATCGTCCTCAATATCCTAAACGCACGAAGCAACATAATTCAAGAAAGCCAGTAAGGGCCTTGGAAGTTTTTTTCATACTATCTATGAGAAATTGGAAAAATCAGTTATTACTAATTTTTGGGCACCCATTTTGAATGGTTTAAAAATCATCCAAAATGGACGAATTTTGATCGTTTCTCGTATTCTCATCTATTTGTATACTCTATAAAATAATTATTCCAACCAAAGTATTTTCTTCAAAACTGACTTGTAAATAAAAAAATATTAAGTAAAAAATTATTTGTAAGCAAAAAATTATATTATAATTGAAAAACACTTATAAGTATAAGGTAAGAAAAATTACATTATAATTAAAAAATTACTTATAAATAAAAAATCACATTTATGTAAAATAAATTTATTTATAAAATAAAAATACTACTAATAAGATTAAAAAAAAACTTATAAAACATATAAGTTTACTTATAAGGTAAAAAAAAATACTTAAAATTATTTAAAATTATAAAATTAACTTATAATTATAAAATTTTCTTGTAAATAAAAAAATATTAACTTCAAATTTTAAGTAAATATTTAACTTTATTTAATTTTTAAATTTAAATATTAACTTATATGTAAAACAAATTACATATAAGTAAAATATCACTTATAAGTAAAAAATTTCAGACAAGAAACCATACTCAAAATTTCACTAAGGGACAAACATGTAACTTTACTTTCTTAAAATACATACCTATAAGTAAAATATCACTTATTAGTAAAACAAATTTATTATATATAATTTTATTCTTTTAAAAAACTTTCAAAACTGGTGAGTAATAAACTCCCAAGCGTAAACCCCAACTAAAACCTCCCGTACTTCAAAGAGTTTAAAGAAACCTTGTGGATTTCGAAATCGGCAAAGAAGATTAGCAGGAAGCTTACAATTGCTCTCCGTGATCTCAACCAATTAAGTGTGTTGACCTCAAAATGTGCTGCCAACAGATGTCGGACTCACTCGTGCATGTGTAAGCTAGATCCAACGTGTAAAGGCGGACCAACTGTCAAGATCACTCCAAAATTGGACGTGGGAAAAGCTCAATGACACGATAACCAGGATACGATTGTATAAGAATAATCAATCGCTATGAACTCGGATTAAAGGTTGTGAATCAATATAAGAGAATAAAACAAGTTGCTCTGAGTATCTAAAGTTGCATTAGTCCTCAATTGTTACATAATTGAGGTATTTATTGTGTTACAAACGGAATGGTGACCCTTAGATGAAATTACACGTGACCTCATCTCCTCGGCCGAAACATCAAATCCTAGCCATCATATTGACTTTCCTAGATCTTTAAAGCATTTAATACTCTTACATCCTATTGACAAGACAAGACACAAATACACTTTTTACAGAAGTCACGTCGATTATTGAAATAAGATTTCTATAATAAATTCGGGATCTCTGCATGTGGGCCTCACTACTTGGGGTGGAGCCTCGGATTTGGGCCTCTTCGGCATGTCCATCTCGGATTAATAATGGGCCTCGAAAATTACCATGTGGCCTCGTCTTCTATGACTGGTGGTTTGGCAAGAATGCGTCTACAACTTCACTGGGTCGGCCACGTGGCAAATGCTAGTAGTAAGTCATAACAATAGTCCCCCAAGTCCATGTGTGATTATTTATGTTATGCGTGGACTTTTAGTAGTCAACGAAGTACCCTCCTTGTGTATCACAAAAAAACTTTAAAATTTTTTATCCATCATATTAGTCCCCCAAGTCCAGGCATAGATATTTATATTGAGCGTATAATTGATTGTTGAATTTATTTTTTGGAGCTGAGGCAGAGAATTGTTGAACTGTCGAGGCTCATTTACTTTGAAGATAGCTAAATTTATTTTGAAGCTGAGGTAGTGGAATGCTGAACTACCGAGGCTCAAAATGTGCTGCCAACATATACCGGACACACTCGTGCATATGTAAGCTAGATCCAACACGTAAAGGTGGACCAACAGTCGAGGTCACTCCAAAATTAGACGTGGGAGAAACTCAACGACACGAGACGTTTCTATTCGAGTTCCGACCAGATATCCGGGATACGATTGTATAAGAATAACCAATCGCTATGAACTCGAATTAAAGGTTGTGAATCAATATAAGAGAATAAAACAAGTTGCTCCGAGTATCAAAAGTTGCATGAGTCCTCAATTGTTACATGATTGGGGTATTTATAGTGTTACAAACGGAATTGTGAGTCTTAGATGAAATTACACGTGACCTCATCTCCTCGACCGAAACATCAAATCCTAGCCATCATGTTGACTTTCCTAGATCTACAAAGCATTTAATGCTCTTACATCCTATTGACAAGACAAGACACAAATACACTTTTTACAGAAGTCACATCAATCATTCAAATAAGATTTCTATAATAAATTCAGGATCTCTGCACATGAGCCGTCACTTGTTGGGGTGGAGCCTTGGATCTGGGCCTCTTCGGCATGTCCACCTCGGATTAATAACAAGCCTCGAAAATTACCATGTGGCCTCGTCTTCTATGGTTGGTGGTTTGGCAGAAATGGATCCACAACTTCACTGGATCGACCAAGTGACGAATGCTAGTAGCAAGTCATAAACAGAGTCCATGATGTTAACCATTCAACCTAAGATCCCATTATTTCAAGGTTTAGTAGAAGGTTTGATAATATTCGGATGAAATTTACAGTTCAAGCATAACGGTTTGTGTTACTTTTTACACATATATAGATTGGAGATGAGAGTGGAGTTGTAAATCCTACTCCACCTCATAATAGAAGAGGCACCTCTACTCGACATCTTGAAGTGGCTCAATTATGAGAAAGCACCAACTTTTAATTAGAATGACAACATTGGACAAAGTATAGGGTGGCAACATCTGATGCATAATTCGTCCAAGAAAAAAAAATCGGTCGAATTTGGAGGCATGGTTATATATGGAGGTTTTTAACAAAATAAGATATGAATAAACTAATTTACTTGAGATAAATTTTCAACTTATTCATTCCATTACAAACAACAAAATAAGTCTAATTACATTGCTTACGAAGTAAGAACATAGATGCTACGGAATAAGAAATGTGTTTAAAGACTAATTCTAATCTCTACTGCATACGCAATGGGAAAAAGTCTTTTCTTATTAAAACCAATCCTTTATTTTTCTGCTTCTACTTGTCAAATATGAATAGCATTATTTTTAGAATTAGCCCATGTTTGAGCCACATTCTCATTTTCATTTTCACCCTTGTGCTCATTTTCAACGACACATTCTTCAATAAAATAAAATAATATTTTTCATCACATCAATAACTTTTTCTTCTTTTTCAACCACAAATTCACCATCATATCACAAAAAAAAAATGCATTCTTTCTATTTTAATGTGCATCAAACACATGAATTTTCACCCATACACTGGCGGACCTGGGGGTGTGGCCTGGGGGGGCACGTGCCCCCCAGGATTTTGGGAATTTTTTTTTTTTTTTAAATGAAATGAAAACAAAGAAATTATAAGAGAGTCCTCAACCTATTCACTTCTTCCATTTCTCCCGTCTCTCGAACTCGACCGAAGCTCCCGCTCAATNTGACAGCATTGCCTATTACCTATTCAAATAATGTCGACCCGTGTTATAACACCGAATATTTGGAGGCTAAGGAAAATAATGTAGTCGATTCTTTGTGGATTCAACAACCGTATAACAATGACAACAATTCCATGGCAATGCAATCACAGTTGAGTAATTCACAACCTTTATCTGTTCAACAAGAGACGGCTCAAGATTATGACGAAATATATCCATTTTTTGACACTATAGATGACAGACAATCCTACATGGACTCCAAGGAAGTGTACGAGTCAAGGTACCGTTATTATTCCAGTGTTAGTTTATATATTTTTTTCATTTCTTGCTAGGCAAATAGATCTTTGATTAACTTTACACATTGTAGCATCAACAGTAAATTATGAAATCCCATTTTTTAATATAAAATTTTAACTAACATGCAGCTCGGAATCATCATTGAAAGATACAAGACAATCAGTCCATCAAATGGCCGAGAATGAACTGAAGAGTGCTGCGGCATGTTTTAGCCTTACCAGTGTCAATTGATAAAGGAAACAAATTGAAGGAGATACTAGCAGAGAGGCTTGGCCTATCGTGAACCAATTTTTGTAATTTTCATATAGAATTCACCAATTATGTTGTGTCAATCTAAGCATTGACTCTTGCCTTCTATTTTCTTCATTACCTTATGATTTCAGCGAGTCGAACAAATTATTATTGGTTCCACAGCAAACTATTTGTTCATCATAAGCTTTCTGAATGGAACGATAAAAGTTTTCTTTCTTTTCCCAAAAATTACAGAGTGCATTATAATTAGATATACCACCAGCATGTTTATATTTGTATGAAGACAGATAAATCTTATAAACTAGTGGGAATTTGTTAATTTGAGCCTGGGTGGAATGTAATATTTAAAGCTGACCAAGAAAATAGGTTCCTTTACCAAGAGAAACATGATCATTGATTTTGAGTATCACTATTTATGAGATATTGGAAAAATCAGTGCTTATTAATTTTTTTGGGCATCGATTTTGAATGATTAAAAAATCACTCAAAATCGATGTAGTATAATTTTTACTAGTTATCTCAACTCACCAAATCGACGAATTTTGATAGTTTCTCATATTCTCTTCTAATTTTACCATCTATAAAATAATTATTCTAGTCAAAGTATTTTCTTCAAAAATAACTTGTAAATAAAAAATTATTTGTAAGCAAAAAAATTATATTATAATTTAAAAATTATAAGATAAGAAAAATTACATTATAATAAAAAAATTACTTATAAATTAAAAATCATATTTATGTAAAATAAATTTATTTATAAAATAAAAATACTACTAATTAGACTAAAAATAACTTATAAAACATATAAATTTACTTATTAAGGTAAAAAAAATTACTTAAAATTATTTAAAAGTATAAAATTTACTTGTAAATAAAAAGTATTAATTTAAAATTTTAAGTAAATATTTAACTTTATTTAATTTTTAAAGTTAAATATTAACTTATATGTAAAAAAATTACCCATAAGTAAAACCACCCGTACTTCAAAGAGTTTAAAGAAACCTAGTGGATTTTGAAATCGGCAAAGAAGATTGGCAGGAAGCTTACAACTGCTCTCGGTGATCTCGACCAATTGAGTGCAAGCTTTTAACCATTCAATCTAAGATCCCATTATTTCAAGGTTTAGTAGAAGGTTTGATAATATTCGCATGAAATTTACAGTTCAAGCATAACGGTCTGTGTTACTTTTTACAGATATAGATTGGAGACGAGAGTGGAACTGTAAATCCTACTCCACCTCAAAATAGAAGCAACACCTCTACCCGACATCTAGAAGTAGAAGGTTTGATAATATTCGCATGAAATTTACAGATCAAGCATAACGGTCTGTGTTACTTTTTACAGATATAGATTGGAGACGAGAGTGGAACTGTAAATCCTACTCCACCTCAAAATAGAAGCAACACCTCTACTCGACATCTAGAATTAGCTCAATTATGAGAAAGCAACAACTTTTAATTAGAATGACAGCATTGGATAAAGTATAGGGTGGCAACATCTGATGCATAATTCGTCCAAGAAAAAAAAAAGCCGGTCGAATTTGGAGGCATGGTTATAGTAACATATATATGGAGGTTTTTAACAAAATAACAACAAAATAAATCTAATTACATAGCATACGAAGTAAGAACATAGATGCTACGGAATAAGAAAAGTGTTTAAAGACTAATTCTAATCTCTACTGCATACGCAATGGGGAAAAAAAAGTCTTTTCTTATTAAAACCAATCCTTTATTTTTCTGCTTCTACTTGACAAATATGAATAGCATTATTTTTAGAATTAGCCCATGTTTGAGCCACATTCTCATTTTCATTTTCACTCTTCTGCTCATTTTCAACGACACTTTCTTCAATAAATTAAAATAATATTTTTCATCACATCAATAATTTTTTCTTCTTTTTCAACCACAAATTCACCATCATATCACAAAAAAAAATACATTCTTTCTATTTTAATGTGCATCAAACACGTGAATTTTCACCCATATATAAAAGCTAAGTCAGTTCAAACTCAAATGAATTGGTATCGATACTGGTTCCGTCTCACAGCGTGCTGTTTAGTAGAAAATTTTAGGGAATTTTAAAGATATTTGAAGCTCATAACATTGCATGAGAAATCAGATTTTGGAATAGTACTTTAATATTAAAAAATTATTGGCACAAAAGGACATTTGGCAAGATGAAGAAAAGTGACAAGAATTATGCTTCTTATACATCAATTGTTAACTTCATGTTTCACATTTCCTATCAGGTGATTGGCGCAAAACGTCTCTATCTTTGAAAGTTTTTTGTGGAAAACGTCCTTACCTTTCGTTTTTTGGAGCAGAATGTCCCTATTTTTCACATTCTTTGCGCTGAACGTCCTTTTCACCAATTTTTAACATAAAATGACAAATATACCCTCTTATATAAATAAAAAAGAAAAGAAAAGAAAAATAAAGAATAAATTGCAATATGCTCCTAAACTTTTGTAAAAATGCAAATCAGTCCAAAACTTATGAAAATATTAAAAATAACAAAAAACGCACTCTCTCTTCTCCTCCACCTCCTTCCACCACCTACATCGTCTGATGACCACATATACTCTTCTCCACTGCCACAACCTCCGGACATTGATACCAACACAATCTCCTCAACTCCCTCTACAATTTCATCCCAAGAATTCCCCATATCATCCAATAATCCGACAGAAATCAGCAAGCAAAATCAGCTACTCGAAAAATGGACAAATTGCTAGAAGTCGTACTTCCGACCAACAACAGGATCGTGGACAACCACCATCCGGTTGCCCACACCCAGACGACCTCAGCCGTGTGGGCAATTCATCCAAAACACTTATCTAACAGGTTCAATTTAAAACTGAAGATAACGCAGTTGCGACTATCGCGCCACGCACTAAACTTGGCTGATTCCGACGTCGTCCCTCTGACCTATGGTACTAGACAACTCCATTCAGCACCCTCTCATCATGGCGAAGCTATTCCACCNATTAATTTTTTTTGTTGATGTTTGTTGTAAATTGTTGGCATGGGTGTGGTCGTCTAGTGATAGGCAATTGATAGGAGGTGAGTTCCGATCATGGATGGTGGCCGGAATGTAATTTCAGACGATTTTTAGATTTGGGGACAGTGAACTTTCAGCATTAATTCTGATCACTACAGTTGATGAAATTGGGAGTGGTTGAGGGGTGGGTAATTGAAGGGGGAATTGGAGGGTTGTTGACCGGTGTCAACGTCCTGCGGCTTGGGTGGCCGGAGGTTGCCGGAATTTGGATGCATTTGGGCTGAAAAAAAGGCAAAAAATCGCCACTTTTTTGGACTAATTTGCATTTTTAAAAAAGTTTATGAGCAGATTGTAATTTATTCTTTATTTTTCTTTTCTTTTCTTTTCTTTTTTGTTTTATTTATATAGGAGGGTACAATGGTCATTTTATGTTAAAAATTGGTAAAAAAGACGTTCAGTGCAAAGAACGTGAAAGGTAAGGACGTTCAACGCCAAAAAATAAAAGGTATGGACATTTTTCCCAAAAAAACCTTCAAAAGTAGGGACGTTTTGCACCAATTACCATTTCTTATGTGTAGGAAATTTAGCTATTTATTGAAAATATTGTTAAAATCAATATATACAAATTTGTCAACTCACATAATGTCAAGCTTTATGTACATGCAACATGATTGAAGTGTTGACGTGACAATGACCTGTTGAAATTCAGTGTCCCCATTTCACCCTCCCTTCATGGCAAGAAATGACTCTTTTACCCTCCAACATTGTGGTTATTTTTCAAACAATAGTGGGGTAAATTTGGATGAAGGAATGAATAATTAAAGTTCATGATGGAAAAGTCAAATTCATTTCCTCTTTTTCGTGACCTATACAAAGAAAACGATCCCACTAAATTTGAAATGGAATTGAATTTTTGCATTTTAATGGGTCTCAAACAAGCACATAATTGAAAAGAACCAAATTTCAAACCCACAAATTCTTCCAAAAGAAGGAAATATGAAGAGGTGGTCGAAAATGGATCACTGGGGTAAAGAATATTGTGCAATGGGGGAATTTTGGTGCGCAAGGGCAGATGATAAATGACTTCAAAATCATTCTCATTCTGTATTGGTTAATGGTAACTGCACCACAAGCATTTACACACGTATGAAAGGAAAAGGAACAGAACAATCGTAGGAAATTTAAATCAAGTCACAACTAGTACAGTGATCATAGCTCGGCAGAATAACGAATAAGAAAAGTCGCAATCATAATCACTTTTTCTCGTGAATAGTATGGAAAACAAATGTAGACCAAAATAGTAGAATAAGTCGTTCCATTTATTTCTTTCATCATCATCCTGGTATACGATACGATGTGCAAGAGTACTTGGCAGTAGCAGAAGACAAGGGGCTGGTATTCCATTTATACACGGTTTCCCCTGGAGAACAATCAGATTTTTTAATCTAAGTACAAGAAACTTCTCTATATAATTTTAGTATCCATCAAAAGTAGGTGCTAGTTGCCATTAAGAAGTCAATTTTCACATCCTCTAGTACAATGCATGACCAAAATTGAGGTTGTGGTTACTTGTTACTGTTCCATCTTTAATCAAACCAGTTGGAAAGATCGCAGAATTAGAAGAAAGCAGCCAAGGACAACCCAATTTTGCTGAGCCTCCAGTGAGCATCAAAACCTATTTTCTCTTTTCTATCTCCAATCAAACCACATTTCAAACTTTATTCCTTTTCTTACACATAATTGCTCTCATTGCTGGTCATTATACAACAAAAATCTCAACTTCATGATAAAATTCTGGCCTTCATGTTGACATTGGTATATATCAGAAAGTTCAGTTACAAATTTACCTAAAAATCTACACAGGCATATATCACTATGCTTTGTGTTCAAGACTGAATGACGCGCTAATGCTGTAATGCTTATCAAGTAGCACATTCAATCCATTTAATTACTAGTTTACAGCTTCAAAAAAGAGGACTTGGGGTTGCAGGCGTCCTCTTACACACATGGGAACAACATCATTCCAGCCACCAATTACCTAGACATCAAATATCAATCATAGACAAACTACAAAAATGGAAAATGAAGGAATACATGACGATAGATGGCAATTTTACCTTTACAGTTTCGTCATCATACATGATCCACAGTTCTGATTCGTGATTGTAGGCAAAACAAATATAGTGCTGCCCATAATAGCAAACCTAAATATGACAAAAGTTGAAAGGTAAAATATATTAGCTAAATCTGTCTCAAAATTAGGTTCTGGACGTCAATCAAAAATAATTCTTTTTATTGTTGCAAGCAAGGAGTGTAAGGATTGAGTTTAGAATTAAAAAAAAATGCTCATATATAGAAATAATAGCTTCTTATAGATGAGATAACTAGCTGCATTAAGAACCTAGCAAAAGAGGTTATAGCAATATTGTAGGATCATGCAGGTAATACTAATACCAACTTGGTCTTCTTTGTTAGTCATTAGGATTCTAGCGTTAGTGTTTAAGAGTTTCTTGATAGGATTTTAGTTTGTTTTGAATAGAAAAAGGGTAGCATCTTAATGAGCCTATAGCACGACACAAATTGTCGCATGGAGCGAGAAAAGTTTTATTAGGGACTTAGTTTACAAAGATCTATGAAGCAGGCCGTGAGACAGGATACCAAAGATGTCGTTCAAAATGAACTGGACACCGGCAAAATACAATAGAAGTTGAAAGCAAACACAAGTTGACAATGAAGGATTTCCTGATTCCAAAGACATGAACGTTAAGAATCTATATGAGCGTGAAGATGGAGAACATTACAGTGAATTAGGTATTTTCAATTGAAATTATTCGAAGAGATCTTGAACAGTAATAAATGTACAGGAAGTTTGTTACAGTACCTATATATACAAAGAATTTATTATATAACTTGCAGAGGTATTAAGAACAAGAGTCAGACTATGAAATTATAGGATAGTGTGGTCGATTATAGAATACTATGCAATCCAAAGGTCTCAAGGAAGCCTGGTTCATGATGAAAAATATATAATGAAAGTCAGTTATTTACATCAAAACAAAAAGGTAAAAATGTCTATTTTTTTTATGTAGAAAAAGTATTTGACTGAGTTCCTCAAGGCAGTGCTATACTGCTATCATGGGTAGTATTTATGTTAGATATATCAATATTATATGCATAATAGAGCACTAAAGAGTACAAGATCTACTAGTGTAGTGGTGAAGAATTTTCCATTAGTCTGGGCTTAAAATCAAGTTTTTCCTTGGGTCTTTATCTTTCAATTTTGGTCATGAATGAGATTACTAGACATTCAAGATGAAGTACCTAGGCGCATGTTATATACTATTCACCAATGAAATAATTTTAAATCATGAGAGGATAAGAGAATTTGCAGTTAGAATTTCATAGGAGCAATTAGGAATGTAGAGTAACTATTGCAAGTAGTAGTATAGAACTAATACAGGGGATACACTAGTGAGGATAACAGCAGGGTCACAAAAGTTGTTCTAAGTGTTTAGGTTCGACTAAAGAGGGTTAAATATTAGATAGATTGGGTTGAATTAAATGAAAAAGGTGCTATAAGAATACCATGTAATCATAAAATATATGTCCACTTAGAAGGCATGTCCCACTGAAGAACAAAATGTCTATAAGATGAAAGTATTCAAATCACAATCCTTTGATGTTGTCAGTTTGTAGCTATTGTCTAACTTTGAACAAAGAAGGCAAACAGGAGAAAACATTGGGATGTTTGCTTTATAAAAAAATGTGCAAGCCACCCCAAAGCCGTGTAACATACAATAAACAAATGACTAGTTGCCTGTCCTCAACATTAGGACTAGCAGGCCATTGATCTTTTACTTGCAATTAGGATAGATTACTATAATTACTTTCAGGAGTACCAATTTCGGCACCTTCTCTGATTCAGTTCAAATCAATAGCCAGCTTTATATGTGACATCTCTAGTGTATAACAAGAAAGCCCCCTCATTGACCAAGAAAATAGAATTTGCATAGAAAAAGACAGGAAAGCATACCATGGAAACCAAGCAATGTATACTTTTTGGATCAAGACCATGATAGAGCACACTGATATCAATCTCAGTCGACAAGGCTGCTAATGTTACTCTTATGTCATCGAGGCTTTCACAATTATTCTGCCAACCCAGAACTACCAAATGAAGAAAACTTGTATTTAGAATCTCACACGATCCAAGTTTAGAAGTAGCATGCTGATTCTGTTTACTTCATTCAGCTAAAGAAATAAATAGTTAAAGAATTAAATGAAATGGAAAGTTTACCAGTTATGAAAATTTGGGGTTGAGCTGAGAGAACATGGTGAATGTAGTTGAGCTTTCCACAGCCATGAGTCTCTGGATCACAAGCTAACTGTTGATTCATCTCAACCAGATTTAAAAGCTCGTCAAAGGTATTTTCTGGGTACATAACCTAAAGTGGTAAAGACAAATATTTATTAGCAACTAAGTTTCATGAATCAAGCACAAATTTGTATAAAATTCTAATTTTATAGAACACCAGTGAGTGGAACCATTATTTGATAAACTATCATCCAATAAGACATGCCTTCATTTCTCTTAGAGCTCTAGCATTGGTATGACGAAAATATGTTGTGTAATTTAGTTGCCTGGACTCCAAACTGCAACTGTCGCACTTCATTCTTTCAATTATGTTCATTCCGAAAACAGAATGTGCAATACAAGATAACCCCTTGCAATCCCAGGAGCCCACCCGTACAACAGGTTCACAAGGCATTGATTGGTGAAAGCAATCAAATATTACCCAAAGCAATTCAGAAGCATCGTTCATCTGTCCCTGCAGATTTGCCACAATATTGATCAGGAACTTACAAATAATTTCTGAATAACTGACGTTGAAGAAATGAAGAAACACATGTTGTACTAAAATAATTAGCAAAGACATCCATAGCAGCAGTTGTGTGATTTACCTCCTGGAAGAACTTAATGTCAGGAGACCGGTTGCTCAGAGCAACCCTCAATGAAGTAGGAGCAACAGCTTCTCTTCGAGTATACGTAGATAGCGTTCTCAGAGAAATGAAGATATCAGATAGAGCACATATAACACAAGGATTACCGCCACAAACATGTCCAGATGATGATCTCCTAAAAAATTCATCTCGAAACCGTCTAAGGTGCCACAAGGACTGAATTCCGAAAAAGAATCAATATCTTAGACCCAAGGAAATTGTTACTATGAAAGAAAACAATGTGGAGGAAGAAAACTTATAGGAAACAACAATGAAAAGTATGCTCTCTAATAACAACCTGTATTATGGCGTTGACAAAGCAATTATATTCACCGACTTCATTTTTCAGACCTGGGCCATATATATCCATTTCAGTATAACCATCAACCCTGACTTTATTTGATGGAAAGTCCAAGTCGCCCATTTCTGGCTGCTTCTTTGTTGGCAACACTGAATTCAACATTAAAGGCAACATTCAATATGCACAGAGCATGTCTGACTTAAAATACTGAATACAGCGCTCAGCAACTTGAGGAAATAAACAAAGCAACGTCATTCACCTAATTTGTTCTTATATGGAGATATTTAGGGAAAGCTGCAATCCGTAGAATTGAAAGAATGGACAAAAATGACAGAGAAATTGACACAGCAAAACAGAACATGCATCAGTACTGTTTTCTAAGAGAATCAACAGAACCACAAAGAGAACAACGACATGAAGAAACAAAAAGAAAAATTAAATTCAATTATATGCAAGTATAATCTATGGAGATATTCAACCTCAGGCCACGAAGGCGAAGGAGTACGCAATTCAATTCTTGATTGTAAATCAGTAATACAGATAACAGAATGCTAGATTAACAAATTGAGAAGATTCGTCCATCAAATGGAAGAATGAAAATGAATCGAGAAAGAATAAATAAGAGGAGATACAAAGCTAAATTTACATAGCATTGTATAAATATTTGAAGATTAGAAAGAGAGCTTTCTAAAACTGAATTGAATGCATTCATCTCAGATACACGCACTATTAGATGTATTGAACTAAGGTACACACCTCCGCCACCAACTTCATCATTTTCCTTTTCTGACGACACAGATTGCTCTGTGAGATGCATCTGTTTTATCTCCTTTTCAATTTGTCTTTCATATTCCATAGTTTCTCCAATCTTTCTTTCCTCATATTCAAGTTTGATATCACGCTTGTATTCCTCTTCCTGTTGTCTTAAAGTGACACCAGTGCCAGAAAAACAAATTGCAGCATCAGGATCCTCGCCGTTGTGAGCAGTTATATGTGATCTACAGTAAATAAGAATAAGTTTGATATTAAACATATTATTCAAATATGTTTCAGATGATATGCATGGAGAGCATGCACATGGATAGGCTTTCTGGTAAAAAAGAGACTTACATCTCTTCAGATGTCTGATCATCAATCATACACAGCACATTATCACCACTGTCCTGTAAAAGTTGGAGTTAGAAGTAAATGATAACTGTGTATCCTGCAGTTCTTGTAAGTGATAAATGACTGAAATCATCACGCAGTTAAAACCTTTGAATACTTGTTTTTCCTGTTCTCCTTGCTCTTTTTCTTATCCTTCGTCCTCTCTTTCATATGTCTTGAATTATCCTCTCCACCAAAACCCTGTCCAAAATCAGCAGCAAGTTCCGCTAAAAGTGCTTCTCTGGCAGCATCAGATTTCTTTGTGGCCTCTTTCTCTGCCAGATCCTCCAAACATGCCTGGAAAAAGGTTTAGGAAAGAACCTCTAGTTCAACTGTAAAGGGAGAGAGAAAAGTTTAGGGGATATTTACAAGATGGCAGTGTGCCAGATACTAACTCGCAAATATGATTGCACTAGAGGCACCAAGATTGATCTAAAATCATGGGCAGCCGCCGGGTTAAGGCGAACTTCCAACTGATGCATCAAATTCATAACTCGCAGGATCCTTGCATCAATTTTACAGAGCTGTATCAATTAGAAAAGTGATTTAAAGCAGCAAAACGTACACATAAATTGGTCCTAATTACAAAAGGATAAGAAGTAGAACTCCTAATTACAAAAGGATAAGAAGTAGAACTAACACACCAACCTCAATACACACAAAGTCTTTCTGTTTCTGTATTTCAATTTCTATGCAGGAGTCCTCCTGCTGCAAATAGTCTTTTATTCTCCCATCATTATCTTCACCAGATTCTACGTCGCAAGGTTGAGATGTCATAGCACTATAGGTTTCCTCAAATCCAGACTTGATTACATTCAAGGACTCTGCATCCTTTAAAACACTTGCCAATGCATCCAACTCAAACCTATTGCTGATATTGATAATTCCATTGTCACTTCCATTGATCTCTTCTTGCCGCTTCCTCAGGACAGATTCAAAACTTTGGGGGACATAATCTATAACGTGCTCTCTTTTAATGCTCTCTTGGCAACAGAGATTATCCACAGCCTGCAATGCCTCATCGTAACTTAAATACTCATATTTCCTATGACACAAGCCCTGCAAGTTATGAAATTCCTCCTCAAGTAACTGAAGAATTTCCCTACCTTGCCTTGTTTTCTCTTCCATTTCAAATGTCCAGGATGTCAATCGTTCCGCACACAAGGGGCCTGTAAATATCCAGGTCAATAATGCATCTGAATCAAGTATGACATCCTCATTCTCATAGCAGATCTGCGATGAAGTTGCTGAACTAGAATCACCATTACCAGCATCACTGCATGATGAAGAATTGAGATCAAGCACCAGAGCTAAATCATCTGGTGTAAAATATATCTTCTCCATAATGTCAACAATCTGAGTGAAACTTTTATCAGAATATTTATCTTGTTTGCAAGAAAAAATGTCGTGCGAAATTTCCTGCAAAAGAAGCAAGATTTTCTGAAGAGCAGGAGGACCCAGAAAGCAGATACACATAGGTGATTTCTCTATATTATAGTTAATAAGCTGAGAACCATCAGCAAGACCCTTTAGCTCCTCCACTACAAAGTGTATAACCTTGCTAACATGACTTGAGGCGAGATAGTTGCATTTGATAAGCCGCTCAAATGAGGTATGGATTCTGTCCAGGAGTCGGGCACGGTCTGAGTCATCAGTTGAATGCCAGCTTTTATAAAGGAAACTTTTCTTTATGTCATCTTCCAACTCCTTGCTTTCGGGTGTATTATTTCTTGGGTTCGACTCATCAAGGACATTAGGTGCCTCAAATTTTGACTCTTCTTTAAGCATCTTGATTGCAGCATTTAAATCCAATGGTTTCCAAGAACAATTAAGAACCATCTCAGCCCACTCCTTATCCGTTCTATCAGGTATAATTGACTGAAATTTGGGTAACAAAGTCCACAAATGCTTGTGTGCGACATGATTCCCGAGTGAATCTGCATCGGCAAATTTCTGATTGCAGCGACAGCACAGCCAAAACTTCCACGCCTTATTTTCTTTCCCAAAAGATAAGGCTTCATTAAGCATCTCACTCACTGACTCTACCTTGTACAAATCAGTATATGCCTTGAGATCTGAAATCCTTACACTAAGAAACTTTTTCTTCCAATCCAAATTCATTGAGTTCCAATAAGACCAAACCCAGTCCCTTATCTCAACCAAAGAAATGTTTCTCCTCACATTCCCACTTTTCCTTCTTTCTCCCACTCTCTGTCCTATCCCCTTATTATTATCGTTATCGATACTATTATTGTCCCCATCCCCATCACCACACTGAAGGGACTCAGATTTCTGTTGTAGAAGCCGAGCAGCAGCCACCCTCACCTCAATTTCCTTCCTACGTTCCTCGGTAGTCTTAGATGCCTTCTTAATCCCTGGTAATGGTCCCATTTCCCTTGGGTCCTTTTCATTGCCCAGATTTTTTATCCTAGACGAAATGGATGCAATGTTCGTTTGCTGAATCAAAGACTCCAACTGACTTGAAATCTTCTCCTGGAACTCAGATACAAGTTTCGTGTCCTGAATCAAAGACCGTAACTCATTTTTCACGTAGGCATTTGGATCCTCGGAGGTGGAAATACTCCGATCATACTTGGGTGCAGTGTTCGACCTCTGAATCAAAGACTCTAACTTATTTTGCACATCTGAAACTCGAGCCCCCGCAGAAGAAATCTTCTGACGGTACTCAGATGCATTGTCCATCTTCTGAATCAAAGAAAGCAACTCATTCTTCACGTGGGCAACTCGAGCCTCGGCCGTGGAAATCTTCTCAAAGCACCCCTCCCGTAGTGTCTCTTCGGCCGGGTCCGTAGGGTTTTGAATTGCCAATGCCCTCTCACACTCCTGCACCACCTCGTGATACCCCTCTTCCTCATTCGCCATCTCCAACAACAAATTAGCATAGAAAATAGAGTATTCAACAGAATTCGGGGACAATGTGATGGACTTCCTTGAGCTCTCTGTTGCGTTTTTGAAATGACGCTGTTTGGCATTTAGGTCATTAGTGTCAGAAGCTAACTTGACAAAAACAGACCCCATGGCATGGTGAATGAAGGGCGAGTTCTCGTATTTAGAGCACAGTTCATTCATCCACTTTAGGGCTTTCTTGTGGTTCCCTCGGCGCAGAGCAGCGAAGGCTTTCCCGCTCTCTTGCTTGATAGAAGCATAGGATGATGAAGTAGTTCCTTCTATGCTGCTGTTTCTTTCTAATTCAGGTGGGTTACCACCGTGGGCGGCTGATGGTGATGGTGGCTGGGAGGATTTTGGACAAGGAGCCATGTTTCGCTTCTTTGGCCCCATTTCAATTTCTTGTGAAAGCTATTGAATCGCATGCAAAAGAATTTGGTGAAGAATGTATAGAGAGAGAGAGAGAGAGCAGAGACGGAGCTGTATGTATAATGTATGGGTCGATGCGAAGGCGGGAAGAATAACTATAAATCGCAGTTTGTTTGAGTTTTTAGTTTTGATTTTTAACTGATTAGTTGAAGAATGGACACGTGTCTTTAATCTATTGACAACGTTCAGTAGGGACTAGATTGAAACTTGTTTTGAAAAATGGTAACTAATGTGGAATACGTACGAAAGTTTGATGACTAACAGCCACATAAACCCGACCCGAAAATGGAGCCCAAAATAATAAATAAATAAATAACTCCTCCATATCCTCTGTATCGCAAAAACCTCTGCAAATTCCTCAAATCGAAACGTAGAGAGCAAACGACGACGCCGTTTTAAAGTGGATATTGTAAGAAGGAAGTGTCGACAAATTAGCAAAGAACGACACGATGGTGAAGACTACGAAGGGAGGCAAAACTATGAACCCTACCGACGCTTACCGGAAGGAGATCCGCAAGAAGGAATTAAAACGGGTAATTGTCATTCATCGTGTAGGTTTTTATATATGAAGTTCATTTATATGTATGTGTAGGCGAAATAAGCAAGTATGCACAGGTTGGTTTGTAAATAATTTTAACCTAATTGTGGATTTTTTTACTTTCTCTGTCTTAAGTGCACTTCCTTTCGGAAAGTCCACTGTGGCTTGTGATTTTATCTAATTTGAATAAAATCTGCCCTTTTATTGATGTTTAGTGGATCTGTTGATCATATTTCTCTTTCTTCCTCATTTTTAATAAATTTATATGGGAAAGAAGTTAAAGTGGGCATGTGAGTAACTGGGTTACAAAATTCGAATGTACGAGGATTTTTTAATCCCCTTTTTTTGGTAATTTGGAATCGTGTGGCTGCTATGAATTTGATGTTAAGTTGCAAATAACATTAATTGTGTTTGGTTGTTCAAATTAAGTTAGTTAATATGGAGTATGATTGTGCATTTTAAAGCTTCTGAGATTGTCATTGATCTTATAATGCAGAACAAAAAGGAGAGGAAGAAGGTGAGGGAAGTTGGCATTTTGAAGAAGGACCCAGATACCTTAAAAGATCAGATTCAGAAGCTGGAAGCTATGAGTAAGTGCCAACTAATTGTGAAATGAGTTTCATTTTATATTACTTATGATGCACTATCTTGTTATAGAAAATCAATTGGACTCTTTTATATTTTGGTTTGAGCTTGAAAACACTTGTGATTAATAAAAATAAAAACTGAGATTTTTCACGTAAAATATTTTATTGATAGCTGAAAGAATGTCAAAAATTATTAAATGAATGGATTCCGTTAGGATGACAAGTTTGGCTTCTAATTTTGCCTTTTTTTTGTCAATGAATCATGAATCTCATGGACAGAACATATGCCATTTCCATAACATGGTAGAACTCACAGGTTGATGTGTGTTACTCTGTTGAGGTGGCTGATGTTTTGATTCTGAAACTCTTCAGCAGCTGCTGCATTTTACTATTTTTTTCTAGGTATTGGGTAGTCAAATCTCAAAATCTTCTCTCCTTCTCACCCTCTATTTATCAGTATCAATTTTGAATATGATTTGTGTCTACTATTTGATTTTTAATTGCGATATAGGGCCCGTTTGATGTAAATTTTTTAGAATAGATTTTGTGAAAAGTGAATTTTATTTTAAGAATGCATGGTTAAAAAGTAAGGAAAAGTTATAGGTTCACATGTAAAATTATTTTATTAGGAAAATGTGATTGAAAATGTGTGGTTGAAAATGAATTTGGGGAAAGATGAGTTTTAAAGAATCTTTAACAAACGGGGGCGTATATTTTTGAAGATGTAAATTTTTTTTTACTGATGGTGCATTCCAATATCTGAATCCAAGCTTTATGAACGTGGGGATATGTTGCTGCTCTCGTTTCACACTGAAACTGGAGTGATTGTATGTTGTCAATATCTAAAGATATCTGGAAAATAAGTTGAAAGACTTCCCTACTCCAGCCTTGTTGTCTGAGCTAATCTTGTAACTGCTCTGGTATTTTTGGTAGTTGAAGCTCACCCAAACAGAAAACATATTTTGGCATTTTAGTAGTTTCTTGCAGCAGAATTTTTTTCTTTTGCTTTTTGGGAAAGTGAAAGCAGCTGGTTGCCTGGTAGTTTTATTTCTTTCAGTTCACGTGAATCTGAAATCTGGTGCTTCTTAATTTGTTACATTTTTCTTTTAGCCTTTTTATGAGAATGTTATGTGATATCGCTGTTAATTCTGGCAAGGATTTTGTAACACCTTGTTTCGATAGTGACTGCATTGAAGATGATCATAATGTGATCTCATTGAACTATGTTTTGTATTTAACTTAGGAACTGAAAGAGAACAAGAAAATGTGAACCAAACCTTTTCTTGTTATTTTACAAAGAAAAGTGCTAGGAAAAAATGAATACAAGGATAAGTATGGGAGATATTTCAGAATCTACATGATGTGTTCTTTAAATCTATAGTGGTACACTGGTACTTGTAGGAAGAAAATGGGATTTATAACTAGAGTTTGCAATGTTGGAAATGATACAGATTGGAGTATAAACTAATGAAAGGACTACAGAACTGGTTGGGACATATTGTGTAGACTTAAAGAGACATGTTCATCAGTGTAATGTCACCAGTAGACCAGATTAGAGAAGGGAGAGAGGCCAAAATGACACGGTGTGTTGTAATTGTTAAGAATTTATTTACTTTCTATCTTCCAGTAGAAGCAATGTACCGAATAGAGTAGCCAAAAAGGATTCATGAAACCGACCCAATTTTATTCGCAATAAGATGATGATGTTGTTGTGCCTCTTTTATATTTTAAACCTGGATAGAGCTTATTGAAACAAATCAGCCGAACTCTTGATTCTGGTGATATATTTGTACACTTCAGTCAATTTCCAATCCATTTGATATAATTGTGTGTTAGTAGTCCTAGCAAACCAATCATCTAAATATTTGCATTAAGCTGATCTTACAACGCGCTATTCTGTATGCATTTCTCTACTTAATACTGTCTGTGTTGCTCCATACTACGCCTCTATAAGTTACACATTGTGGTGGTCAATTTAGAATGTTAAAAGGTGCTTTTCCTTTTCTTTATCTTCTCTCTCTCCTCTCCCTTTTGTGGGGTGGGGGTAGTAGAGGGGTGATTCGTTGATGTGTTATTTTTATTGAGAAGGAAAATTCAGTATCTTTCTAGTGTCCTGATATGCTTTTTATCAATATTTGCAGAGGCAGATGGTGCTTTGGACAAAGCAAGAAAACACAAGAAGAGACAACTTGAGGATACACTTAATCTTGTTATCAAGAAAAGGAAGGTAATGGCGAAGTTCATGGGCATAGTAATGGTGCTATGGTATTGTCGAAATGCAACATATTGTTTTTGGCAATATGTTTGAATTTCAACAGACTAAGGATTTCAACAGATGTCGATGGCCTTTTTCTTTTGGCGAGTGATATTTCGTATCAAATAGACCTACATTGTTCTTCACATTTGAATGAAAAAGTATATTTCTCTTATCTACAGCTTCGTCATTTTGATGTCACTGGACAGCTTAAATTGCCCCTTTGTTAAATTAGTTTCACATATTTTTCAAATTGTACGCATTTTAAAAGACGCTGCAAAATTTATTACAGTAAATAAAAAAATAAAAAATAAAAATTAATATAGGACATGAAATATGTACATTCGCTATTTCAATTTGTTACAATTCATATTGAGGTATATATGATATGCCTTTTTCTTTTTCCTTTCTGTCCTCCCCATTGAGTCATAGATTATAGCCTTCCTAAAACAGCAGTCGGTCTTGCTAAGAGGAAGAATGGATTTGTGCTATACATCTTCATTCATTCATTCATTGATCATGGTCATCGTTATTATTATACTGTTGTCTTCTGTGATGTTATAACAACACACATTATTACCATGTTAACATAAATATTTATTTATAGTTTGGTTTTATAGAATAGAATATTATATATTTCGGGGGAGATGGTTACCTTTATTTTCCTGTGATAAATCATTATCATTATTGGTGGTCTTTTCATTTCTACTACTTGCCCCGATTTATTTTTACAAGTTTTTCTCTTGCATATATTCTGTTTTCCTTCTTCCACTTTTTTCCTTACACTTATCATTTTCTTCTCATTCTCTATTGTTAATAGACATGGTGATGGATTACCTAAATGGTTTTTCAATGTTTGTTTCCCGTGATTAGTTGACATTAATATCAACAATATCATTTTGAACATTTAAAACCTAACTTTTATTGTTTGCAGTGATTTTTCTTTTGGTATTTAAGGAAATGATACAGTATGTGGTTTCTTAATCAATATGAATTGAGCTTGAACATAGAATTAAGAAAATTGATTTACTGAGGAAGATTACAAGGTAGTGATTGAGCTGGAAAAGGGAAGAAAAAGGGCTAAGCTTTAAGAAGTGATAGGACGTATTGTGGGAGGATTTGCACGTCTACTGTTGTCTATACTCTGGCTTTTGTTGATATTCCATGGGAAAATTTGGTTGTATCTCTATTGTTCATAACAAATGGTTGGGGTCTCATTTTTTCAAAACAATTTAACGGTAGGAACTAGGTAGAAAGTGTAGTAAACCAAAAGTTTTAAGTCACAGAAGTAGGTAGAAAGTGTATCTATCACTCCTTCCTTTCCTCCAGGCATCCCTTTCCCTCTCTAATGATGCTTTATTCTTTTAGAAGCTTTGTTAGTGATTAAAGCAACATAGATGAGTGGTACACTGGTACCCGGTTAATTCAATGGTGCATCTTTCAGTGAATTTAACATTTTGATGTATAGTTGCATCACATTCCTTTCTGACTTTCTGCCAATAGGATCATTTCTTTACAATTTATTTTGAATGCACCCGCCCTAACAATCACTTCAAGAGTTTGTCAATAAAGTTGGTTTCAGATAAATTTGATAAATGGCAATTATAAATTTGTACTACAAAAAATTTCAATGAAAGAAAAAGCTGCATTCAGGTTATTCCTTTCCTTTTGTATCTGGTAGCCATAATTGGGTGGCTCTATGAACCGCACCTTTCTCATATATTCACTTTTATATTATTTTTTATTTTGCTCGGAGCAATTAACGTTTTTTACTTGATAAACATGTTCTTTTGCCTATGATGCTAACTCTTTTCGGCGTTATTAGTTTATTTGTCAGGAAAGTGAATTAAATGTGATTGACAGTATGCTTTGACCTTATTGGGCAGGAATACGAAGATAAACTAAAGGAAAAAGGTGAAGCACCCGTTATGTTCAGGTGAAGAAGTTTCCATGCGTTCTCCTTCAAATTGGTGTAAATGTATATGTTCTGAATTTAGTTCAACGTTCCGATGTTATACTCTTTCTGCAGTCACTTGGGACCTGTCCAAAGGCGGGCTACTGCGGAAGAAGAAGAAAGAGTTAGGCATCCTAGGCCTGAAGTAAGTTCTTAACTTCGACACTTATCTAATATTGAACTCTTCTGCTGATCTTTGAACCCACATTTTAGCAATATACTGATGCAGGACTCAGTTTACTATCACCCAACTTTGAATCCTTCCGGAGCTCCACCACCTGGGAAACCTCCTATGTTCAAGTCATCGATAGGTGGGTTTGGTTCTATTTCATATTTATTCCATTATAATTATTTCTCTTTTCACCTGTTATCTCTCTCTTTCTCTTTTCTTGATTTACCCCCNTTTTTTTTTTTTTTTTTTTTTCCCCCCCCCCCCCCCCCCCCTCTCTCTCTCTCTCTCTCTCTCTGATTCTGATTTTTGTTGCATGAAGGACCAAGGATACCCTTAACAGAAGCTTCATCAAGTAATGCTGCATCATCATCGATATCGGAGTCAGAGGAGGCTGGTTTATCTGTCCCTCCTCCACCCCCACCTCCTATGCCTAGTGCTGGCCTAGATGCTGGAGATGACACCATTATGCCTGCATCTTTACCTTTACCCCCTCCACCCCCAATGCCTCCAAAGCCTGCAATGACAGACTTCACTACACCATTGCCTCCACTACCACCACCTCCTCCTGGCCCCCCGCCTAAAGAACTAATTGCAACTCGACCTCCACTTCCTCCACCCCCAGCCCTCCCGCAATCTGTTCAACCACCTCCTCCTGGGACTGTTGGGAATGAAAAGGAGAGAAGTCATTCTGCAAAATCAGATGAACCAGCCTCCAGGGATTCAACTCATGTATGCTTCTCAATCACTCTACTTAAATAATCACTTGAGAGCTTTCTAAAAATAGATGTCAGGATTTGGAAGGAATTAGTGCAGGTTTAGTTAACTAGCAAAGGAAAGAAGTATAAAATTGATACTACAGTTTATCTAATTAAACTAGTTTTTCAAATAATGAAAATAAATTCTTTTTAGCTGATAAGTCTAATGTATTGATGGTTTCTATAGGCTTCAACAATGCTTCCTCCACCTCCACCACCAGGATTGCCACCGAAGTTGGGAAATGATCAGTCAGAAGGCTCATCTTCGGAATCTGATTTGAAAACTTCTTCTGAGAACAATGATCTTTCAAAAATGGTTCCTCCTCCACCAATAAGGCAACAGCCTCCAGTGCCTGGACCCGCCATGGTCACAATGCCTCCAGGTATTTTACGTTTTCCTCCACCTCCACCTGAGATGCGGCCACCGTTACCCCCTCCTGGAATTCCTGGGCAACTTGCCCCACCGGGAGTCATGATCCCACCAGTGCAATTACCACCTTTTGGACCACCTCCTATGATGATACCTCTTCCACCTGGTCCACCACCTATTCCTCAAGGTGAACTTGTTTTTAGACAACCGGCACCTCCAAAACCATCATATGTCAAATCAGCTGCATCAACTGTTGTAAAGAGGCCTCTGGCACAACATACTCCAGAGCTTACAGCTATGGTGAGTTTCTCTTTGCTGTTTATATTTACGTTGTTAATGAAATTGTTGGTACATGGAAATAAATATTAGTAGGTTAAATTCGCTTTGCTGATCCTAGGGCAGAAGTCATGTACCTCATATTGACTGGCTACTTTTAGTACCGATTTGAAGTAGTACATAGTTCACAGTCCCAAATTTTATATTCATATTGGCTACAATCCTCTACTCTTTAATCATCCACATTCTTACTTTTTCATTAAAGAATACAACTGTTACAAGTTATTTTTTCTGATCTTACGGGATTTCTTCTCTAAAATTCTTGTATCTGAATTTTTCGCTTGGCTTCTTAAAACTCATACAAATCATTTATATAGAACTGTAGTTCTCTCCTATCTCTTCTTATTTCCT